AGCGCCAGACTACACCTTCCAAACACAGTAAAGAAAGAAAGAAACCAGCTGCAGACTTGGATAAAAATAATTAGGCCTGTATTTGTCTTCCAGCAGGGAAGCTTCCAAAGCGACCAAACCCTTTCCTGTGCTGCGGTCTTTAGAAGCTCTCTGATGCTTTACTGCTGTGTGAATGAAGCTTTAAGCAGCTGAACATATTCCTCCAAAACAAAACTAATTAAGGCTAGAGTAAAAGCGGATAAAATATCACAACTCCTATTTTCTCAGGCCAAACAGACCCTCCCAAACTCCTCTGGAGCTGGACTGAGCCTCGTGTAATCAGGACTTGCGGCATAAAGTCTGGCACACTTTACACTATATAAAAGATCATCACAATGACATTAATAACCATGCTGTAATGAATATCACCCTATGACATTATTACAGTGTTTACGTTATTGTAAACTTACAGTACCAAAGAGACCATCAACCTTTCGAAGACAAACTCAAGACTAGGGCTGCACGATAAATCGCATGCGATATTTAATGCGCATCTTGTCAGACACAAAAGCCACCAACAAAAACAGTTTAAACTTCACTCCACAAAACCACACCCACCAGCTTTACAATTAGCCGACAACAACTTGATTGGCTCATGAATCCGTCAATCTGAAATTAGATTATATTCCTGTTCCAGAAATAAAAATCCCATTCATTTTCTCCATTGGGCAACTTATAAACCTTTAATGACAGACCTACTGTGAGCTACGAGGTTGTTAATCAATTAAATATGTAATATTTCAACTATTTTTCATAATTGTGGTCAACAGCAGAATTCCTGGTTAAAAACTACATTTCCCATAATTCTGCAGAGCGATCTCCCCCAGTCAGAATATTTTCACATTTAAAATTTGTAATGTTGTAATTGACCCTTCGCAAAGACCTGCCCCCTTAGTTACTGTTGCTATGTCCGACAAGCCATGCCGCTCTCACGCCACACATCATGTGCAGTAGAAAATACATCGCTGATCAAGAGGACGCCGACAGACAAGACAGAGCAGGTTACTTTAGGTATGAAACAAAGTGTCAGCATTCAAATTTCGTAATTTTTTTAAAGAAATTCAAACAAATAAATATGGTTTTGTGGCTCTTTAATGTGTCGTGACCAAGCGGCAACCTCCCGCTCTCTCTCATGAAGCCAACACGGAAGTGACCTAAACTGTAATTCATCAACTGGCCGCTAGAGGCTGGCTGCAAAAGGGAGTCAGTACCATAGACTCCCCATGTTAAAATGTCCAACTTTACAGCAGAAACAAACATGTTTACAGCCTGGTACAAAAAGTGGTTTTGGTCTATATAGCTAATTTTGCCCTTCATGACAACTGAGGGCGGTGAATTTTTTTTTATAACTCATCCGTTTAAATTATATTAAGCCTTAAAGTTCTGCATAATTAAGGGTGACAGGTGGATTGCCGCTGCTGACACTGCCGTGGAGCTAGGTGGGCGTGGCTTCAGCAACCAGCTCCCGCCTTTTTGCCCATTTTCAATTATCTGGGAGTGACGCGCAGTGACGTGCTGCCAAGATGGCGACGGCCGGGTCCGCTCACTTTGAGCTTCAAAAACGTCCATGTTTTTATACAGTCTATGGTCGTGACAGATCGCTATAGCGCCTCATTTCAAGCAGCACATGAACTGATCGTCTTTTCATATTTACTACTATTTATAGCACAGAATAAACATGAATGAACATCAGAAGGTATGTTGTTTCAGCCGCGGAAAGACGTCAATAAACAGTAGTTTAACATTGGTGGACTTGAACTTGAACTCTCTACACTCCTGTCTGGGACGCTTGTCGGACAAAATGGCGGATTCAGCATTATGATTGGTCAGACCGCCTGTCAATCAAACTCCAGGCAAAGGGTGAATTTACCTCAGACTTTTCTTCTTTTTTTTTAATCCCTGTGGGAAAAATGAATGGGAAAATACTTCTAGACTCCAACTCACTCTTCATTTGTAAACATCCAGTAAAATTCTGTTTTTATAAACTTCTCAACATTGTACACATACAATGTATACAGTGCAAATGACAGAATCAGGAGCAAAAATACATAGCAACATGAAGCAAATAAAGATAAATAAGACAAGAGTTCACCACACTACAACCCAAAGAGGCAAAACTCAAAAACACAAAACTACCCAAGGATGGAACTGGAAAATGGCTTCAATATAACTCTATGAAATTCAATAAATTTTTAGAAGATTATGTAAATCCGTTCATAAATATGCACAACAGGGCACACCTGTGATCTCTGTCAACTCAATTTCTATCAAATCTGGAGTTTTTGTGTTTTGTCTTTTGTAGGGTAGAATAAAACAAAAGCATAGGGAAAAAGTCCCAAATAGACTTAGAAAAACTGAAATATGCCGTTCTAATTGTGTATTTTCAGTTCACTTGCTACTAAAAGCCAAAACACTTTCAAAGATCTGATGCCACTAACCTGATATACTTCGGCAAATCCAGTGATTATATCCTCATCATAAGCGCTAATTGTATCATTGCGTCTGGTTTAAACATGATTTCATTGCTTGATAATTGGTATTTGATATTACTATTTACACAACTACTTCCGCTTTATACGTAGTGCGGCTCGGGCGCTTCCGGTTATCAGCGTGCAACGCGATTACGTGTACCGTGATCGACCGAAATGTAATTTACATACAGCGAAATTGTCAACAATGTAACAATAATAGTGACTAAAACATACATTTAATAGAACTAAAGTGAGGAGTTGGTTATGTTTGAGGCTGATCTGTGATAAATTGGTTTGAGAGTTTAATTGGCGGGAAAAAAATTATTTGATGAAAACTATTTAAAAATAACAAAAGCATATAACAAAACTACCAATACTTAAATAAAACTTAAATCATATATTAGGTGGAGAACTTAACCTTACAAAAATACGAAAGGAAAAATACATATAGAAAAATTACTAAAACTTCAAATGAAAAAACTGTAAATATAAAAAAAATCGAATTCAAAATATTTATACTAAAATAACACTGTACCCTAAGCATAAGTTGTGAATGTGATTAAACCTTAAACATGACACAATCATGAGCATCCAGATCTGTGTTCATGTGTTCCTTTGCAAAATATTTGAGGCTGAGAATAAAATAAGGTGTCAGTGTGGTGACAAATCATTTTACATTCGACACTGAATGAGTTTGATAAATGCTTCACTAAAATATTCTGTAGGTTCCCTGCATCATGCAGCACAGCAGAGCCGAATCCACTGCCGTCTCCATTTATAAATCTGTCCATAACATTATTCCTGGAAAATCTGAGCGCAGTTGGACAGAGAGAGCAGAAAGTAGATTTATTTCTGCCGGTTTCTCCAGCGAACACTTCAATTATCCACCAGTGCCAGATAAAGACGGTTTCAAACCCAAAACACATACAGTAGATCAGCCCATCAGAACGTCCTGACCTTCTCGTCAGTCATGTCCAAACATTTGTGCTTGGAGAAACCACAGAGAAACAGGAAAAGAGCTTTATTAGTTTAACAATAACCCCGTTTACAGTGAGAAAACAAAAAAACGGATTATTTGACCATATTTCTATAATTATTAATCATTTACAAAATAATTGATTGCATTTTAAAGTTAAAATTTCAGTTTTCGGCTTTGCAAGTTTGTGCGACATTATTAACTAATCGCTGTAATGTATTTATTTATGAATAACAAAACTTAAAAATGAAAAGAACTTTCGTTAAACGAATTAAAATCTAAATATTAGATGAAAATTTAAACAAATGATAAAAGTTGCCTTAACTTTTAATTGAAGTACTAAAATTGCTAAGACTAAAATAAAATCTAAATATAAACATTTAAAATAAGACCAAAAAATGAAGCACATAAAATGAAAACTAAAATAAATGTATTTTTAACTTTAATGAAAACTATTAAAAACCTGCACTTTTTAAAGTTTTAACTTAAATTCAAATGAAAAAAAGGAAAAGTTGTGTTAACAGAAATCAAGCTGCAAGAAAATAAAATTAAAATATTAGATGGAATTTTAAAGGAAGATTTGAAATGTTTCCTTGACAACTAACTGAAAAGAAGTGTGTTTTCATATTTGTGCCTCTTGGTAAAACAACAATCAAATAATCTATTTGTATTACTTTTGGCTCATTTGTCATTTATACCACACATTTGAGCTAATTAGTAGTCTATCTGAATACTTATGAAAATGTGCAACCATATGCACATAATATTTAATGTAGTGATCGTTGTTATATTTTGAAAAAGCTCTGAATGCCTGTGTTGACCAATAGCTTTAACTGTCTTTGCTTATTAAACCAGGAAAGATGAGTTTTAACGTAAAATATCCTTCAAGTGTCTCTTCAACTCAGACGACTGTAAATCTCAACTGAAGTTTATGGTTTATAATAATGTGTGTGTTTGCACTGCCTCCTGGAGGAAGAGCACTGCAGTCGTGAAATGTTCAGCAGCACTGCAGGGAAAAGAGCAAGTAAAACAGCAGAAGCACATGTAGAAATGTGAGCAAGACATTCTTGATTCAAGAATTTAATGAATACTTAAAAAAAAAAAAAAAAAAATTATTATTATTATTATTTAAAGTTCAGTGCATACAAATTACAAATGTGCCCAAGACACTTTCACACTCAAAACGATTCGTAAACAAAAACATCTGATTACACTTCAGATATATCAGCCGTCCTAATATATGATTAACCACTAAATGTGAAATATCCAAAAACGACACAAAGTAACATATCAACGGATGACCTTTATAATCAGTGAAATATTAAACTCTTAATTTGATGCTTTCGTTTGTATTCAAAGATCTGTGATTGTTACAAGAAATCACATTTGGAATGAAAATATAACACCTCTTTATATGAACTATGATGCTGCAAACTATGAACAGACAGAGAGTGATCAGGATGACTGTGCAAGCAAACACAGGAGTGAACGTGACAAATAATAGACCAGAGAGACCTGAAGATCAGCAGGTGGATCATCACACACTAACAAACGTCACGCTTCACTCCACGTCATCTTCCTCCAGACTCTGAGGACTTACTATCCGCTGTGAACAGGAGAAATGATCGCGGTTAAAGGCATAGTTCACCCAAAATAAACATTTGCAGAAAATGTCCCCATCCTCAGGCCATCCGAGATTAGGATGAGTTTGTTTCTTCGTCAGATTTGGAGAAATGTAGCATTGCATCAGTGTCTCAGCAATGGATGCTTTGCAGTGAATGGGTGCCGTCAGAATGAGAGTCCAAACAGCTGATAAAAACATCCCAATAATCCACACCACTTCAGTCCATCACTTAATGACTTGAGAAGACAAAAGCTGAAACTAATCCATAATAACACTTCCTCCAGTGTAAAAGTCATCTGGTCTGAATCAGGAGAGAAATCTGCACAGATCAAGCACTGTTTAAACAGCTCTAAACAAATATGTGGCTGGATTCTGATGTGAGAGACTTTTTCACTGGAGGAAATGTTGTTATGGATTATGGACTCATATTTTAGCTGGAAGCAATGGTTTAAAGTTAAAAATGTTTTGTTTTGTTTCTCACAAACACACAGTTTTTGTCTTCTCCAGATGTTAACTGATGGACTGGAGTG